AAATCATGGTGCATTGTGGTCTACATTGTAGCTTCAGTACAAACAACTCCATATTTGGCAGCATGAACAAAAGATGTTTGTGCCGAACCTAGACCACAATGCAAACTGCTATCTCAAAAAAGGCCTATGTAATCGTCCCATTTGCGTTAAAACATGAGCAAACAGTACAGTTTTCAAATGACCTGTTCCTACATTTTCTCTAAACGTACGTTTCGTTGTGTGTTTTTCAGGAGGTTAACGAAAAAGCAGACTCGTCTATATCTCAAAGATCAATGAACTCGTTTCCCGCGACGCTGGGTATGACAAGTGCTGGAGGCTCGTCAACGCATCCTAGTACCTATAGTAGACTATCCCATCAAACAGCACATCTAACAAACGCTGTTAACGTCAATTCTCTACAGCAACATACAACTATGTTAAATCGAAATGATCGACGAGCACTTGGAGTTACTCCAGGGTACAATGGCGGTAATTTAAAGCATCGCTTGGGAACACGAAGGGCTGTAACTAAGGCACCAAATATGCTAGGGACCGATGTAGAATGGCGGCCTAACTATGACGAAGCAAGGCTGTATGGTCAAGTGTTTGACACGCGAAGCGAAAGCCAACCGAGTGCGGGAGCTAAGCTAAGATCTTTTAGTGCAARTGGGTCAAAGCTGCACGACTCACCAAACGGTGCACGGGCTAATCCGCGAGTCGCAAACACAAACGCTGCGGGATCACTTGGAAGCAACTTATCCAGTTCAGGAGGTACTCCATATAATGTGAGCCAGCAGTATGCGTGTACAGCGTTCCCGTATCCTAATATAACTAAGGTTACACCACATCAACCTGTATCTATAGGACTGTCTGTCATATCAGGACSGGCACCTATAATGAATAGACCTGATGGGGCCGTAGGGGATCATGGGCTACCTCCTAGAAAACCCACCAATGGTTTATCCAATCAAGGAAGGTAAGGAAGCCAACAAATTGATATTTACATCTAATTGTAGCAGTTTCAGTATGATTTTTGTGGTTACTCCCGTTCTTTTTTGTCTGTTTTTTTTTTTGCCTGTTTATGTGACGATCTCTTAGAGGTGTTTTCAAGGTATTTGCGAGACAGCAATCATATGTCGACAATTATACTTTTTCAGGGTGACTAAAGTCCATCGTGCAAGAGAAGCGCCGAATACACTTAGATTTAAGGTAAGAACAATAGTTACCAATAGTTACTTCATCAAATTTTGCATAATATCCCACTTCCGTAAGATGCAAGCGATTTCCTCCTGAAACTCCCTATGCAGCGTAATGGATATTTAATCAAATAATTTCCTCCTCATTATTATTATCGCCATCATTTTAGCTATATCCTAACATGAATCACTGTCAGTTTTTAAAGAGCAGTTTTGTCGCGCCACTCTTTTTTAGCCTGTGTGCTGCCGASCCAACAGTGGTTTTGGTTACTCTTTTTAATTTAATTGTTTTTTTTTTATTTCAGAATTTACCGGAAAGTCATGTTGTGGCGTGACAGCATTCGAGAAATCCCGTGACTCCTTGAGTAACGCCACATTGCAAGAAGGAAATTAGCCATGTAATACATTTAGAATATCGTTAAAAATAATTACCGCATAAATAGTCATGCAATAGACTTTTTGATATCGTTTTACTAAAAAATACTATTTTAGGAAATGRCACCAATATATTTATTGTTTTATTACATGTTAATATGCTATGAAATCCTAATAAAAGTTATATAGATTTTTAACGTGAGATTTTTTAACTCATTCTCTGCAATAATAAGACGATCCTCAAGCCTAGAGCTATGGTGGACGGGATTTTAAAGTGAACGCTGCTCATTTAATATATTAGTTTTGCATAGCTTATGATATATTCAAGACAATATTCTTGCATGAACTAGGCGTAGATAGAGTGGTTTTCCGTCAACCATGAAAAGAAATAGACCAACTAGTTAGTAGCAATGAGTACTAGACTAGTCAATGTAACTTTTAGACATAAACTATAAAACGAATAGCTAACAAACAGTTTGAATAAATTAAACGTTTAGTTTAATTAGTTACCGAATATGTTTATACCTATCAATCGGATACAAGACTAGACTATTAGTATTGGTCTATTACAAACTACTACTAACTATTAGACTTATTGTGCTTTCATGGTTGACGGAAAACCACTCTAGATTCAAAATTAGGGCCAGACACCCATAAAACCGTGATCCATTAACCATGAAGTTCTTAGGGTTTTATTTGTAGTATTAATACAATATGTTTATTGAGGTTTTGAAGTTGAAATGTCAACTAGTGAATTTGTTCCTATTCGTGAAATGACTATTGATCTTCATGGACAGCTAGACGCTCTTAGAGCGCTAACTCAGTCGAGAACAAAGCAGTAGACTGATAAATGACGCCTGCTCGTGATGAATATGACACATCCACAATATCTGCTACAGTTTGCTTTCCTAGTTTGATTAAGACAAAATTAAATAGCTTGCATCCTATTTCCCACGGTCACATGATATGTAGAATCACCTTCCGTAATGAACAGGAAAAGTTTACAAAGTTATCAGTAGAATTTGTTAGACTTGCCTTTATTGACCTTTATTTATTTAAAGTCAAACGAGAAAGAGTTCTAGCAATACATGCGAGGTCACGTGATGCATGACGTCACATAATGTAATTGAACATGCCACCAATTTTGGTTGGAGTTGTTTTGCCCAGGTTTGATTAATATGCAGGCTGATAAAGAGAAGTTTCCCATGGTCTTATGATTGACAGGACACTTCCCTAATGTCAGCTGTAGTTTGTTTGGTTTACGAAAAGTAAACTCAACTTTCAACTTGACGTGACCTGGTGACGTAGAAAAACTGCACATGATACATAGATTGTATGGTCAAACAAGCAAGCCCGCTTCATATAATCATGGATCTTAGAAGAAGRGATAACAAAGAGTTAGAGCGGATTTTGTATGACTGTGCAAAAAAAACCGGTATTTTCGTGCTGTGACCGTACCGTGCCGTAGCGGTGATGTATTGTTAAATCTTTTTTTTTTTCATTTGGAATCCTATAGAAGGCGAGGTTCCGTGACCGTGGCGTGCCGTGTCCGTGCCGCTGCACAGTCATACGAAATCTGCTCTAGTCATTGTTCTTTATGACGTATATTCTGTTTTAAATGCACTGTACAGCTGTTTCAGAGAGAGTTCAATACACTGCATTGACCTTTCGCAACGACAGAAAATTACACCTGGGTTTCCGAGGATGCTGTTTATTGGACGTTGCGACACATATATGACGGTAAATTAATTGAACGAAATATCATACTTGATAACAGTGAATCGCAAAATGCTGATTTGACAACTTTCCTTGACGGCTAAGCTTCAAAATACCCTGTCACTTCAAAATACCCTTCACTGCCGCCGCGGTCCGCAGTCACGTAGTGCCTGCAGTGATTTCTGGGACAAACATAGGTAGCCAATAATTTACCCAGCAGTCATAGTGAGCACTTTGCGATGACCGCGGACCGGTTTTTGCATTTATCACTTTAGTCAACTCGTATACGGTATTCTTGGTATNATTGAGTAAAATTCCCATTCCAATGGAAAAACCTTTAGGATCTAATTCTTTTCTAGATTTGAGTAAAGCTGTCTTTAACAATTGTTCCATTCATTTCACTCAGAAATAAATTTATTGGTGTGCCTGGTGTGTTATTTATTGGCTCCTTATTTACTAGGTGTGCATGCAAATAAATGTTAGGTCCTTTATCCGGTAGGATGAGGTTTTATATAAAGATTCATCCTACCTGATAAAGGACCATTTTTTTAGTAATCAACCATTGTTTTTCATTGTTTTCATTAATTAACCCCACATTTCCCTGAGACCGCAATCAAAACCCTCCCCGGGATTTTAAGTTTGYTGGTTTTATCAGGGATAAAAGTATGTCCACGTGATGAAATGTAGTAACGTGGTTGGTCAATTAGTTTATTAATTATTCATGAGTTTTTGAAGTGTGTTATAAAGTCTTGGAACTTGTTGACTGCTCAGCGAGAGATCTTCATGAGGTTCCTCTTGATTCAACTAGTGTGATGTTGGCTTCCATATCATTAAGGAAAAACAAGGTCCGATCCATTAACATTGCGAAACTACGACAAGTCCTGCCAAACTAAAAAAGGGTAGATTTGAGAGAAAACCCACTATTAGACTGCAATGCCTTGTTTTCACAAGATGTTTCACACTTGAGAATTCAAACTGACTGCCCTCCCTCCACTTCAAAATCTACGACCACAGCGACCACAACGACCACATTGTTAACAACAATGAGAATTCTACCTTAACAAGTCAGCCTTCCACAAGTTTCATAAGCCGTCCGACTAAAAGTTTTAGTTTTAAAAACGAGCCCAACATCAACAACAGGGGAAATATCTACATTAAAGTCAACCGAAAGTCCTTCGCAGAAAGAGTTTACGCAAAAGAAAACAAAGTCATACTTGCTATACATCTATATAGGGGTTGGAGTCGTTGTGCTGCTATAATATGCATTTGCAGTTTYCATCGAGTTTGGAGGTATTTTCATCCACGTATGCCTGTTGAACCTCACATCGAGCTATCTCCATACCACAGAGCACCCTCCCCTCCCATGAGCATCGTGTCATCCATGTCAAGCGAGGAAGAAATAGACATTTATACACCCGTGTGAAAATACATAGACTTTGTGAATATCTTTCTTTAATTTGAAAATCTTTCCCGTTGATCCCATTCGCTTAAAAAGAAAGCAAATAACACTGTTGGAATGATTTCTATGTTTTCGTAGGAATTTATACGTGCTAACTGGACACACATATGGTGGTGATTCTCACATGGAAAAAAAATTATCTTCATCCATCCAATTATTATTATTATGATGTCGGACATGGCGGACGCGTATCTTGTCCTCCGGGATGTTTTTTAATCTATTTTAACATTTTACATCGACCCTCAAAGTTTTTCTTGTCATGGCGAAGAATCCAAAGCGTACAAAATGGACAGAGGAAATGAATTTGGACGTTTTACAATGTCAAAGGAGAGCTAAGGAGATTATTTCTTCTGATGATCCACCACTAAATGCTAACAATGGCAAGAGAAAGGGTTATGTTGAAGTGATGGAGGAACTCTGGATTAAAAAAGGATACGGATATCTGAACCTGAAAGGTCAAAATCTGAGGGATCAAGCATCTAGAGTGGGGAAATTGCAGAAATACTCGGAGAGAAACATAGAAAATAACTCTGAAAATATCAATCAAGTTAAAAATGCAAAAGATTCTACTTCTCGCTCAGATTTGCATATTACTACGACTTCATTCTCTGGGGAACCAGCACCAACAAAAGAAGACCAAACAGCTATTAATGAAGCCATTGTTGAGGAAAATAATATGAATGAATGTTTACACAACGATCCAGCTAGCGATCCTGGTTGTCTCCCAAAGTATGTGCCTGTTGAAAAACCTTCTATACTACAGTGGGGACGACGGATAGATGGTGGCAAAATTCAAATAGCAACATCAGTCATAATAGAAGCCTATGATGAGATTTCAACATGGAAAAAGAACGT